TAATGGTATATAGTCATGATAATAAAAAGGGAAAAAAACAAGTGATGCACAAATCAATCACTCACAACCCACTGACTGATGCCAGATCCTGTTCCTGAACCCTGATCATCCCTCCCCCTTCTGGGTAAGTCCTCCAGTTTACACACTGGGCCTGACATCCTTTGGTGTGGAATATCCCTTTGGGGACTTTGGACCACCTGTCCCAGCTGTGCTCCCTCCCGGTTTCTTTTGTGGATATCCTCAGTGACAGGGCATGAGGCAAGGAAAAATAAGTCCTTGACTCAGGATAAACATGTCTTAGTGAACCCAAAACATCAGTGTGTTATCAGCATCATCCTCATTCTGAAATCAAAACACAGCATTTCAGCAGCTGCTGAGAGGAAATTAATTAACTATACCCTGGCTGAGACCAGGACATAAGGCAAGGTCAGATTTGCTTTTTCTGTATAAACAAGTATCTGTAATAAGCATCATAAATGGGTTTTCATTTTATGAATTCTGAATTTATAGCAGTTGTTATAATTTTGATGGACAATTTTTTTCAGGTCAGTTTAATGTGGACAAATAATGTCAGATCAAGAAGATCATGGGACACGTTTCTTCCAAGAGAAAGAAATTTGTTAGCTGTTAGGGCCAAACACAAAATGAAAAAAATTGAAACAGCTTAAGAAAACAGAAATGGATTGCAGGCTTGAGTTGGTGAAGTTGACTACAAAGCATGTATTGGGAAAACTAGGGACCTCTTGTGTCTATCTAGATAAGCTTTTGCTACTCTGATGAAGTTAAAAATTAGCATGGCTTACTGTTTGTCTTGTAGAAGTCAGTAACGGGTCTGACATAATACAACTGCCTGGGAAATTAATTTTTCTTCCCCTTGCTGGCTCCACTGGCTGGAGTGCTGAAAGATGATTCTGGTAAAGCCAGAAAACACTGTATTTTTACTGAAGGAAGTCTAAACCATGAGCATGATCAGTTTTCTCCAGAGAAACTATCAAATTATTCTAACTTTAATCTTTGAAAAGTTTCCAGATTTTATCTACTAACAGTTCAAATTATCCTTGTAAGTCTCCCTTACCAAAGTAAAAAAAAAAAAAAACCAAGCAAAAACCCCAAATTTATTTGAATTTCTGTACTATATTACTATTTCACAGTTTATGTTTTTTCTCATTTAAATTCCAATCTCATTTCTCTTTCCTCTTTGTCTTTGTTATAGAAGAGAGGGAAAAAATTCACAATAAACTGTTTTACATCCTTTAGTGTCCATGTTTTTACTAGATAAACACATCCTTTCACAAAAATAGAAATCATTAAATCTATGGGCAATATTGTGATTTAGCTAAAACATTTATATTTTTTTCAATATCAGTTGATGCACAAATGGGGTATTCTGTTTCTTAGCTTCCTGACTATGTTTTGTTCATGTTGCAGGCTTCAGGGTTGCTGGCGTAATATGTATAGCTAAAATGACTTCATTTTACATTCTCTGATTTGCCTGGCTTTAGAAAGTAGGAAAAAAGAAATTCATCCAGTGTTGTGAAGCAAAATAGTTAATGTCTCATAGGCCTCTACCAGTCTCCCTACTTAAGACACACACACAGCTAAGGGTCTTGCCAGTCAGCAGGGTTTATTTACAAAGGAGTGGATTATTCATAAGAGGAGTAGATAATTTGTAAACAGGTGTACTGCATAGACCCTACTTATCTGAAGGAATTAAATCTCTGTTTTTACCTCCCAGATCCTGCTTATCTGAAACAGTTTTGACAAAGAAGGAGTTGTATAACCTGCATGTCAGGTGTTATCAGCTCTGTGTCTTTCTCCTTTGGACAGAGTTCTTACCAGCAGCAATGGTCACTCTGCCATTCTGTTTTCTCCTATAGCTGTAGTGATAAAATCCTTCTGTTCTAATCTGATCTAAATTGTGTTCCAGTTTTTTCTGCAACAGAGCCTAAAGAAACCTGGAAACAGGGAAAAGGTACCTGCTCCTCTTAGCTCACAGGGCCACCAAAGCCACCATGACTTCAAATTCTACCATCTGTGTATCCCCTTTTCTGAGCTGTTCTTCTTTCTTGCAGCCTAAAGTATTCCTTTGGTTTTTGGTAAGAATGCATTACTTGATGTGATTTTTTTTTACATGGTTTACAGAGTACTTGGGGCAAGGGAAGAGTTATCATTGATATTACATACTTCTTTGTATTACATACTTCTTTTGCTTCATTTGTTTCTATTATTTTCTTTTCTTTGGGGCCATGTTGCACATATAGAAAGTTATAAATATACAATAAAATTAGACAATGGCTTTTGGTAATGTAATGCATCAAAAGGTCTGCATTTTCTTAATGGTGTGAGGCAACTTGTATTGAAAGTCTCATGGAAACTAAGATTCTGGGAACATACAAATAGAAAGAGGCCTGTAATAGTAAACTCCCTGTAGCACACTGTACTTGCTTATAAATGGAACAGCTTTAACCCCTGGAAAGCAATCTGCTCCCCATCCCATCCTGTGTGAGCAAGGACGATGGCTCTGTGATATGGTAGGAAATCTTGCCTTTAACTATATAGATCGTATTACACTGTTGGTCTCTAGGCAGAGTTTAAAAGCCTTCTGGGACATTCTGAGTATCTCAAAACCTCTATGAAAACTGAATAAACAAATCACAATAACGTTTCAAAGTTCAAAGCAAGGAGTAGATATTTTTTTATTTTGAAATAAAATTGATTTACCCATTTGCACACAAACTGTCATATCCACCTGTTTGGAAGCTGCTAAATGTGAATTCCCACTTAGTCTGGAGAGAATTACCTGAGGTAAGGCAGAGGAGGAGAGACTCAGCCTTTGGTGGCCTCTTCACATTTCCACAGTTGTCAGTGCCTGGGTGTCCTGAGAAGCTGCAAGTGGATGTGAGCTTGATGAAGTTCTTGTGTGAGTGCCACCAGCAGCTGTCAGTCTCACAGACATTTTGCTGGCTTTGTCTTGTAGCTTTTCAGGGAGATGTGAGTTGCCAGATATGCCTGGCAATGTCTGCCCCGGCCATAGAGACCTGATGGGGCTTTGAAACACAGGGATGGGGCCTCGGTGGCAGGTATGAAACACTGGTAAGAAGCAGAGGGGTGGAGTTGGCAGTGGCACTACAGTAACCCCAGACACGTGTTCTTGGGCCACAGTGCTCCTGGAGACAGCTCTGGGTGAGGATGGCCCATTGTGATGTTACCTGGTGCTGGATAGTGTTTTCTCCCAGGTAACTGATGTCGCCAAGGGATGTACTGATGTTACCAGATGATAAATTCTCTACACCCAGTGAGCTAACACAATGCTTATTCTTCAAAATCCACTGGCCTGTGGAATTGCACAACGCCCATTGTGTAAGAAGGAGAACTGGAAGTCCACCAGCCCCAGTGTTCTGCCAGTTTCACTTGGTTTCAGTCAGCACTGGGGTCACCCACCAGTAAGGATCACCAAAAAGACCCCTAGGACAGAAGAAAGCATGCATAATGGGGAAGGAAAGTGTGGTCATGATTTTGGGGAAATTATCATATTTATGTTTATTTTGGAAAAATCAATATGAATATGTATGTAAAATACGGTATATAAACATAGACTTTCCCTAATTCAGCATGCACAGTGTTTGGAGGAGATATCCCCTTGCACATCCAGCCAAGTAAAGAATTCCTGCTTCTTAATGAATACTGGTGTTAAGGAAGTGGGTTTTTTGCTGATTTTTTTGCAATGCTGACATGTTCCTGAGTGACAGACTGTGATGTTGGCTACTGACTTTCCCCAAGTGATGGATTGTGGCCTTACTGCTTTATCTGGCTACCGAGTCTCACCCAGTCAATTCTTGAGGTTGGAGCGTTGAGTTTGGTGCAGTGTTGTTTGAGGGGAGATTTTTATTGCTGGTCTTAGCGTCCAGCTCCAGGTCCATCAGAGGAACTTCCTAAGCCTTGACAGGTTCAGGCAGCTGAGGCACCCAGGAGTGCCAGGTATGATTTCGTTGTTCCCTCAGAGGGAAATGCTCCCCAGCTTCAGACCTGCATCTCTGCAACAGATCCCAGGCAGATGTTCCCAGACAGAAGTTTTCAGGGCCAGGCTGTGTTCCAGGGCCCATCACTCCATGCCTTATCCTCACCACACCCTCTGCCATCCTGGCATTTTGCTTTCTTATCAGCCTGCATTGCTTGGTGCAAACTTGCTATAGCTGATGCCTTGTGAAGGCTGACCTAGAGCAGAGATTAGACAGAGTTAAAGAATAAAATAGGTATTCATTAAGAGGACAGATCCACCTTGTGCAGCACAACCCAAAATGGCCACAAAATGGACCACAGATCTCAGGGTCTCACACTTTTATAAGTTTTGGTCCATTAGCATATTGGAGATAATTGTCCAATTACAGCTTTAGCCCATGAAGTCCCATCCTTCTTGTTTTCTCTCTTCAGTCCACCACTGTTTATGCTCTTGGGCCTGAGATCTGGATCAGCTGTGCTTGGGTCCTCAGCTAAAGAAGCAATTGTTTTGATTATCTACTCTGTGAAGAGAGCTTACTACCCCCTAATATGAAGCCTACACTCACATAATAAAGCAGAACAGAATCTGAAAAATATAAAAGCTAAAACCTGAGGCACCATAGCAGCAACAAGATCCCTCCTACACAGAGTCATAACCCCTCTCTGCATCCTCCCCAGGGCCTGCCAGGCCAGGAGCCCAGAAAGTTCAGCAAGGGGGAGGCACGAAGTCCTGCCCCTGAGGACAGACCTCTCCAGGCACCTGCACATTCAGCTTTCCAGCAGGACACCCAGCTTTGCAGACAAAGCCCTGGAGGTCGTGCCAGGCGCCAAGCTGATCATAGGCCAGCAATGTGCCCTTGCCACTAATGATGTTCTGGACTGCTTTAGGAGTTTTGCCAGCAGGACAAAGGAGCTGATCCTTTACCTGGAGCACTGCATTCAGTTCTGAGCTCCCCAGTACAAGAGAGCTGCACGTGCTGGACAGAGTCCAGCAAAGTGCCATGAAGATCATCAGGGGACTGAAGCATCTCTCCTTGGAAGATAGGCTGAGCAAGCTGGGATGGTTCAGCCTGGAGAATAGAAGGTTTGGAGAGGATCTGATCAATGTGCAAAAAGGCCTGAACCTAAAAGGTCCTAAAAAGGATGCTGCAAAGAAGATGGAGCCAGGGTCTTTCCAGCAGTGTCCTGTGACAGGAGAAAGAATATTGAAGAGCAGATTGGGCATGATTCTGGTAAGTGCCTCTAGCTGTCTCTGCTGAACCAGAAAACAAGATAACATCCAGAGATCCCTTCCAAGCTCAACCTTTGTGTGATTGTGTGAAAGAATTTATGTGAAGAATCTAGTCTAATAATTTCATTTTGGAGATATTAAATAGGAAAATAAGGAAAGTAGCACAGTTCTGCTTTACTTATGCTTGTTAGTCATCTGCAGGACACATGCTAGAATGTATGATACAAATCCAGTTTCTGCTACTAGGTAAATGACTGAAATCTAGGACTGCTAGGAAAGACTCAAAGCCATTATGCTACAGAATAAATGCTTTCTTTCTCTTCTGCTGATTCTTTTTCATGTGAAATTCTTCTGTCTTCTCAACCTTACTTTTTACTTCCCAATGTTGTCCTTGTTTTCAATGATAAAAACCACAACCTTTTAAATAATTTATTCACAAGTAACAAAATCACAAAACACTATTTCTATTATTAGAAAGAAGCCAAATCTTCCCTCTGCTTGACCCTTCCTCCAAGCCATTTTCTTCATGTTCTTCTTCTCTAACAGATGAGTCATGTTTTCAGGCTATCTGCTCCATAGTAATCTTCTTCCCTTTACAGTGTCTTTAATCTTTTTCTCCAGTTGGGACAATAGTCCAATCTTTCCATAAAGTGCCAGGGTACTGTATGACCAGCTCAAAATTATGTCCTCCAAATGGAGTAAACAAAATAAAATATGCATGTAGTATGCGAATTAAAAAAAATCCATAACCTTAACTAATGCGTTCTAATCTAATTAAATAATGTTAGCTATAATGCATTTTAAAAAAAAGAGAGAGGGAGAAAAGTAACGGCCTATGGATTTTCTAATAACTGAATGCCATAATTATGTATCAGGAAATATTCATATATATATAAAAGATACGTCTAATAAAAAGTTTAAAATACACAAACAGGAATCGAGCCATCCACATGTATTCAACAACCTTTTAAAAAGCTGTCTAGCTTGTACTTTTGAGTTTCAAAAATTAGGAGGTTGGTCCACAAGATTTAAACGGTCAGTCAACAGTGTGTATGTTTTCATTAATGTAACCTTATCTACTTCCTCAATCAAGTGCACTGCCAGTGCCACGAATATAGTGTCCTTTTTCAGCATTTACATTGTATAATAAGAATGTAAATAGATTTTTTGTATATTTGTATGACTAAACTCTAAAAATGTGTTAATCATAAAAGGCTTTTGTTCCTGTTGCACAGACTGCATGACAATGCTGACAATGGTACTGCCATGTTTGCTGTGTACTGTATATACTGTATTTAGGAGCCTATGGAAACATCACTAAGTTGTTTCTATTGCACTGAAACAGTAATTTCAACAGATTAGTCCTTTCCCTCGGTACAACCCTATGTCTTGCTGCTTATTGTCCTTTTAAGCATATAAACCAGAAGTGCATAATTGACTTCTTAATCTTTTAACAATTAACTCTCAATACAGACAGCAAATCCACTTTGTTCCAAAATGCAGTGTCCAATTCCCTTTCACTCACATGCTCCAAGGCAGCTGCAAGGCAAGGAGCTGCAGATCTGGGGACCTGTGACATGCAGGGGACAGAAAGGAGTCTTTCCCTGTGTGTCTAGGCCCGCAGTTATCAGTAACACACTCTAGGTGTGGAGCTTCAAGAGAACATCTGCTCTGACTGAACAAACGTTTTCAGACAACCCATGCAACCTTCCTGCAAGGGATACACAGGGGCAGAAATTATCTGATTGCATACAGGACATTAATCAGCATACACAGGAAAAAAGGTTGGTAAGCAAATGCTCTCCATTGTCATTCAGATACTGGAAAAAGAACTGGGTATAAAATTTGCTGAATTATAACATTGGCTTCTATTTAAAGATAATTTCTTATTTTCCATAAAACAATGTCCCGTGCATGCATCAGAAATCAATTCAGAGACATCATTTTGTTTGCTTGCATTGAAATTTTCTGAAGCTCTGCTTCAATCAGAGAAACATCTCTGTCTACTCATACTAATTATATGGTGATCTTCAAAACTCAGATTTTGCTGCATATGATTAGATTGCTTTCAGCAAAGGTAGCATGTTGTTTCACTGAAACAAAGCTGATGGATTACTTGGAAGACAGAATTCTTACCATAAATCTTGGTAAACATTTGGGCTCTCTGTATTTAGATTCCTTCCCTGTTATTATTAATATGGTTGCCAGTGTATTTTGATACCACTGACTACTTCCTTTTGAATTTTATTTCATTTTCTAAAAAGGTAGTTAAGAATACTTAATAAATACTTTAAAATATCAGTTCTCATTAAAAGGAGATGTTTTCAATCCTTGTGATTGCAGAGGAACAGCTGAAAAGAAAAAGATAAATGGACGAAGAAACCAGAGAGAGTAAGTAAACAAAACCCTGCTTTTCCCTGCTTTCTGACTCTATGGGACAAAAAAGCCATGACAAACCAAACCTAGTGAGTTTGGTGACCCATTTCAATTAATTAAATTGAAATTTGTGCTTGCAAATTTCAAAGCAGAGGTTGTGTGACAATCGCTCAAAACACTAAGTCTTTTAAAATACTATTTCCATCTTGCAGAGCTCATACGAAAGAAAGTCTTGTAAGCAGATTTAAGGTCATTGTAGCATTAACTATGAGGGCAGTTACAGAAAGTCTGTTTCTCAGGTATTTCAGAGACATCTCAGGTGGCCTAGAGAGCTAGGACATGAAGGCATAGAGGCCAACACACAGGGCTGTTCACATTCCCCTGGGACTGGAGAGCATCTCTGCATAGTCTTGCTGAACCTTTAAACCACTGAATGATTTCTGTGCTATTGCTCTCTCCAGTACATTCCTTGTCTCCTAGAGCTACCCTTCTTGTGCAAGCAAAGCTGCAGACATGTCGTAGCCTGTGTCTCAGGTGGCAGCTCTGTTGTCCTGTTTTCCTTTTCTCTAACAGAATAATGCTCCATCAGAACCAGGCAAAGAGAAAAGGAGTTTCAACTGAGAAGATCTGGCAGTCAGTTTCCATTGGATTAATACTTCTTTGGCATAGAATGCTCTCAACAGATAAACAGATTAAGACTAAGGACTGGAAATAACCAGACTGCACATTAATTAAAATCAGGCTAAAGGAATTAATCGAGTTATTTTAAGGTAATTTATCAAATGCTCTTTCCAAGAATTCAGAGTAAATTTACCAAAGACAACATGAGAAAATATCTTAGAGCATCCAAGGCTGGATGGAGGTTCGAGCAACCTGGTCCAGTGTGAGGTGGTCCTTGGCAGGGAGGCTGAAATTAGGTCTCTTCCAACCCAAACTGTCTATAATTCTGTAATTCTTTATGGACTTATTGGACTAAGTTTATTTCTGACCATGCTGAGATAAAAATCTCAATACATGTGCAAAAAAACTCCACTTCATGGAAACTTGGTGAAAGTAATTCAAACAAGAGAAAACACAATCAGATTTCATACTTTGACAGACAGCGTCTAAAAAACCCAAATGCACCAAACAACCAAACCATGCTGGAACTTGACAGTAACTTAGTACCTGATATTGTGAGAAGGATACAAAAGGTTTGGTTAGACTGCAAGTTAAGCATGCATTTAATTCCTTCTTGGACACAACTGGTTTGCATTTACAGTGTGTGATTTTTTTTTCAAAAGTGTTTTGAATTTGTCTAAATTTGAGAAAACATTTCCTTTTTCTGAGCAGCCCCTTCATTTGGAGTGTAATTTAACTTCCTGTGCATGTACTTTTGTGAATGCTTTGGAGAAACCTTTCAAGCAATAATCAAAAGCAAGCTTGGTTGTATTGCCAGAATGCTGCAGTCAAAAGCAAGCATCAGGCTTTTCATTCCAGGCATACAACAGGTGACAACAGTATGACTCCTGCAGTGCAGCTGGCTGTAGGACTGTAATCTCTCTCAGAGCAATGCATGCTCTTTCACAATAGTTACTCTTTCCTAAAATTCATTCCTTTTCTATATGTTCTATATTTTTCCCTTTAATTTTCTTTATTTTCTGCTCCATAAACATTATTTTGAGCAAACAATTCTAAAACAAGGGCCTTTCCAATCACATTCAAGTGTGAAAAGGGTGAACCAAAACTAATCCTGTCACAGCTTTGAGGACTAAATTTTTTTTCCCTGTAGCCTGCTTATTTTTCCCTCTATTTTTACTTTGAGTTCTTACTTATAGACCATGACTATTTTGGTAATAGAAGTAATATAAGAATGCTAAAAGAAAGCTAGGGCTGAAACCTAGTCTAACATCATCATCCCTTTTACTTATTTTCTCTTAAGATTATGTGTTTGTTGGTTCAGTTTATGAAGTCTGCCAATTGGACTTTACCTGGAGTGAAATTTACTGGTTGATTCATTTCAGTGAATCTTGCATGCTTGCATGTGGCAAAGAAAGCTGAGCAAAGGTTTCCAAGTCATAGACAAGCCATGGCACTCAGGAGGTCTTCTGTTTGTGCCCTTGGCCACTAAACAATAACATTCTGAGAAAGGCAGAAAGGCAGTAAAGGAGCCATATGAGCTAAAACAGAGGGTCTTTTAATGGCACATCTATTGGAAGAATAAACTTGCAGCTACTTCAATTGTTTCTTAACATAGAAAGATGAGACATTTGGTCAGAGAGGTAACACAGTGTAATCAAGAAGATTTCAAGGTAACTAAAAATGTCTCTTTACAAATTGAAGACTTCAGAAATTGATGGGTTTCGAATTTTTGTTTAGAACATTAAAACATTGTACCTCACATGCTTTAACTTCATTTGTATGTTTATGTGCAATTAATGCCATGGTGCTTTAATTTCTGAGCTGCTCTTTTACCAATGCATTTCATATACTTTATGATACATACAAGATCCTGCTTTCTGCAAGAATTCCCCTGAATTTTACAAGTATATTCATTGAATATTGTTTAAAATGTAAACAAGCTTGAGGAATATAACAAAAGTACAGCTTGTCAGTAAGATATTTCTAAACTACAGGGTGGAGGTCATCCCATTTAGAAAAGCTTCTCAGATTGCTGAAGTGTTCCTGAATCATAAATTGTCACATAAGACATTTCAAATATTTGCAATAATCATGGCTGAAACTTTAAAAAGGAGACTGGTCAATGCTATCTATATTATGTTCAAAGGATTTTGTATGATCTTCAAAACTTCTCCCCTATGACTGTTTGAAAATATGAGAATTAATTTTTGCCTGAAATACCCTACAGAATTAATAATTGTTGTTGCTACAAAGGTTGTTTTCCAAACATCAGTTTGTGTTTGTGCACAATTTTTTTTGGGACTGCAGGATGCTATTGTAAATAATGTAAATAATATAAATATTGCAAAGTTATTATTCACCATTTATTGCAATGCCAGAAAATCCTATGGTGAAAACTGGATACTTCAGTAGATGAAGAAGTTTCAGAGTATGGTGCCTGCAATTTGTGTATGTTCAGTCTGTTGATCAGACTGTTCAAACTTTTGGTCTCAAATGGTCTCAAATTCTGTCACACCAGAAAATACAACTTAGGCAGCAAAGAACAACATTTGGTGCATCTTACAGGTTTATGGTACATAACATACTTTCATGTTATACATATAATAGTATATGCCTGGCATGTTTGTTTTCACCTTTTTTTAGGATTTGCCATGGGACAGTAAAATATTTAGACATAGTTTTGATTACAAGTCAAAAATCCTGCGCAATCCTTTATTTACTCTTAACTCCCTCCTTCTTTTTTTGTGGGTCTTTTTATTCTAGTAAATCCCAATAAGGTATTTTTAACAGTTCTCAAATTAACAGCTGGAATTGTAATTAGCTTGTTAACTTTCAGTCTATGTCATAGAACTCAGTGTAAATTATTATAATGTATGTATTTTATATGTCTGAGATGACTAAATCTATTCTTGCCCAGCTCCAAGCATGTTATGCACATGGATTTCAACAGTTGCTGGAGGAATATTGGTGCTGTGTGTCTCCCTGAAGATCTTTCTCCCCTATTTCTGGGCAGACCTGATCTATTTCTTGAGACGGAAGAGGTCAAAGGCAACAGTAAAAAAGTGGGCAAAAAATGGAATTCTCTCCATAACTGACCTTTTCAGGCAATCAGTGGAAAAAAACCCCCACAAGCCATTCCTTATCTATGAAGGGACGGTGTACACTTATCAGGATGTGGAGAGGAGGAGCAACAGGGTAGCACAGGCCTTCCTGCACTATGGGAATCTGAGAAAAGGTGACACGGTGGCCCTGCTGATGGGTAATGGACCTGACTTCATCCATGTCTGGTTCGGGCTAGCCAAGCTGGGCTCCGTCGTGGCCTTTCTCAACGTCAATATCCGCTCACGATCTCTCCTGCACTGCATTAACACATGCGCAGCAAAAGCTCTGGTCATAGGAGAAGGTAAGTTCTGTGTTGTGTTTCACTTACTGCCCACTTTCTACTGTTTCCTGCTTTTATCAAACATAGGAAATCAGAGCCCTTCAGAGCTGCAAGCTCTTTATGTATACACACACTTAAAAGAGGGGAAGAAAAGGAGGGGAAAAATTAAGGAAAGAGACAGTGTTGTCTAAAAAGGAGAGAAAAGAGATAATGTCTACATTTCGAGAGTATAAATCCCATGCAATTAATTAGTAGAATTAAAAGCTTAAATCTGAAATTCTCCAAGGACAAGGTATCAGCAGCAATAATCATGCATCAGCAAGAGAACAGCCTTGGAAGATACTTTAGCATAATTTGATTTCTGTTTTTATTTATTCGTTTATGTGGCTTATATAAAACTTCACTTACTACAGGAAGACACAGATTCCCTTTGTAGTTGTGATTTCCTTCAGGTCAAAATACCTGCATAAAAATTTATGTTACTTTATAACTACTTTAAGTAGCAATCCCAAGGTAGCATTGCTTGAAGCAAAGATTACAGTGCAAGGAGCTGCAATTTCATCTCTGTTTATGGCACATTATACAATACTAGGCAATTTATGCATATTCTAGTCCCGTTTTTTCATCTTTTGTGCAGGTTGGCAGTAGTACCATAATTCCATATGAATCTGTGAGGGTTTGCTATTTGGTATATGCACCAACTTTTGGAACAAATGTGATTAAATTAAATCTTATATACTAGCATCATCAACTAAGTTCATGGTGTTTTATCAATTAAAATAAAAGCCACATGAGAAATATAGGGAAATTGAACATCATGATGATTTTTTCACTGTCCAGTATGCAGGTTAGCCCTCCTATGCCTGTGGTAGGTTTATAGGTGGTATGATATTTCATTTCAATGCTAGTAATCAGGTCTGCAGTTGTATTTATTTCAAAAATTACCAAGTGTTTTTTGTTTGTTTTAACTTGGCAGATTGTTTAGGATCAATAGAGAAAGAATTTATTTTGAATCTCTTGGAAAATAATGTTGCTGTCTGGCTGATGAGCACCAGTTCTCCTTTCCAGCATGTTCACACCCTACCAGACAAACTAGACAAGGTGCCTGATCATCCTGTTCCATCTCGTCTTGGAGCTGTCACTGACACAAGAAACACAGCTCTGCATATCTTCACATCGGGAAGTACAGGTGAGGATATGTACTAACAAAGTACAGCTGCACCTCTGAAAATTAAAGCAGTATAAATTAAGCAAAAAGACACAAAAAGACAGAACTTGAATTTCCAAATCAAGACAGAGAGGATTGATTTATTTAGAAGCACAGTACACTTTAAAGTGTTTTTGAAATTACACAAGAGTGTAATTTCAGTTACTGAACTTCTATATAAATACTCCATGGCTGAAATTAATTTCTTGAATATAAAGCAAACAAAGGCAGTCTCTAAGAGTTGCTCAGAAAGGAAGAACATCTGCTTCTGATTCTGAAATAGGAGTTATTTTTAGAGTGGAAGAATGGGGAAATCCATCCACTAGTCAATCCAAACAACTTCATAGAAGTTATTTGTATTGCAAGTAGAAGCTGAGTGACACAGTGGCTCTCCAGAGGTTTTCCCATTCTCACTTTCTGGCAAGGGAAACCTTTATGTATATTTGACCTGCGCATGCCTGTGAAGGGCGTGGACTTTGTCCCCCAGATGAAACAGACATGGCAGGGGGATTGGGAATACATTTTACATTATCCCTTCCAACCCTAACTACTCTATAATTCTATGTTTAAATAGAATTACAGGCAGAAAGAGTGAAGGAGCTGAGAGGCTAAGGGGATATACTCATAAAACAGCAAAGCATAGGACAAAGACTCAGAAGAAGAGAATTCTCCGTGTACATTCCCAGCATAATTCTACTTCAGCAGAATTATTAATGCATGCAGTACATTTGCAGTTATTTACTCTTTCCCTTTGACAGGTTTCCCAAAAGCTGCTATCATCACTCACCGCAGGACTCTGGCTGCCTCCTTGGCATTGACTCAGTGTGGTGCAGTTTCTCAGGATATTATATATGTCACTCTTCCCTTGTACCACATCAGTGCTTCTCTTCTTGGCATCAGTGGATGCATTCAGTTAGGTAATATTTACCTTCTAGTGAAGTTCCATTAACTTGACGAGGCTATAACATGTTAATATTAGGTGAATAACTGCTTGGGAACTCAAATATTATGTTTACCAAAAACCTTTTGTAATTTTATCCTTTTCATCGCCTCTCCTGTTTGTGGACAATATCTAAGGTATATGCATAGTTTTTGAAGCTTAGAACAGACACTAATAATTGTATAAATCCAGCATAAAATGACTTGAGGTCTGTGTATTGTTAGCATCACTGCACATATTCTGTAGGTTTAACCTGAAATCATCCTCCTACCCTATGCCAAATGTCTGTAAAGGCATTCACACAGGCATCTGGGGTTGACTTTTAGTGTCAGAAGATACAAATGCATTGTGGAAGCCCAACCTTCTGAATAAGATTGACTAAATGTGTTGTGGAGCTTTTTCAGTCTCTTATTTGAGTAAGACCTACAGAGTTAGATTCATCATCTTAAAGTGAAAAACGTGAAAAAGGCCAAAATCTCCCCTTCTAAATTTGATAATGGGAGTTATTTGTAGAGAGCTATCAACCAGATATTTACCAGGTACATCCTCATTTTCTATCATTAGAGTCTTGCCTAGATGCTGGGTTTTGGCACGCTAAGTATATAACTGGAGTGCTTTAAAAGACATTTCACTGTTTTGTTTATTCAGGAACAAGGCAGGCAGGCATGCTGCCAAGACTGCTTCTGCCTAACAGAAACACAAAGGGGATGGGAAAATGAGTGTATGAAGAGGTTTGAGGCTATGAATTTTCTTGGAACAGAAAATGTAGGGTAATGTCTTTCTTAGGTGTTTAGATCGAGATCTGGGGGTCTGGGATTTGAATGACAAAGCTTTGAGGAGGGTGAGGCTGAAGAGCTCTGAAAGGTTTCAAGATCAGGGAGGAACAGGCAAGATGGGAAAAGTGGAATAGAAGGTATTTAAAATTGGGAAGGCCCTGGGAAATGTCACATAGGACAAACACGACTTGGGCGAAAAGAAAATTTTGAAAAGATAGAAATTTGTAAATTTTTGACTGACAACACTTAGGAAGGGATAGGGTGGCAGATATGAGAGGGTAGAATGAAGTGGCTTTTCAAATTGAAAGCTCTAAAAGAACATCAGGGTCACAGAAAAGAAAATAGTTTTGATTCTCAGTTGTCAAGGAACAGAAAAAGGGGAATGAAAGGGAAACAACAAAGACAGCCTGTTTCCTTTTCACCACTTGTCACACAAATAGAGAAGCTGTGAGCTACAATTTTCCCCATTCCAAGATCTTTTTTTGGAGTTAAACTAGCTCATGATCATGACAGAAACAAAATGTTTAGGCTATTCCTAACAATGAATGATCATTAAAAGATTTGCTTCTGCTGCTTCTGTTACTCTAAGGTTTTAGTTACTACTCAGAAAAAGAAACAAGGCTTAATTGTGCAAGTTTCATTTAACAGATGGATCCTGTTGGAAATAGCTTACAATTTATTTAATTAGCTGAATTTATCATTAACTGAATTAAGAGAATGACAAGTTTTTTCTTCCTTTTTTTTTTTTTTTTTTTTTTTGTTACAATAGTGGTAGAAGACAAGGGGTTTATTTTAAAGGTTATTTTGAAATTTCTTACCTGTTTTCATCACATAGGAGCAACCTGTGTTTTGAAGAAGAAATTTTCTGCGAGAGAGTTTTGGAATGACTGTAGGAAATACAATGTTACCATGTTTTTATATATAGGAGAACTCTGCCGCTACCTCTGCAATCAGCCCTGTGTAAGTTCCATTTGCAAGTACAGCTTTAAGATACAGCAAATCTGAAAGTTAGATAGATTCACTAATTTCTGAACAGTATAGTATTTTCAATGTTTGATAGCTTTTTACAGCGTTCCTTGTGTCTTGTGTTCATTGCTATTACCAATAGCAGTCAAGTTTACACCAGCAAGTGCAGTGGTGACAAAGGAACGAGCCTGGCAGGACAGGACACGTACCCTGACACTCACAGAAGTGCCTCTGCAAAGCCAGGCTTGTTGGCTTTTCATCTGAGTGACCAGCAGGTCACAACAGGTCAGTCAGGAAAAGGTGTAAGCTGTAAAAGCTTCAGCATTCACAATGACCAAAAAGAGTTCATTCCAGATTGAATGATTTAACAGTTTCAGTGCTCTGCTCCAAAGTAATTGTTTATCAAGAGTGACCTAGTATGTTCAGTATTTAATGGATGATAGTTAATTTTTAACTTTGAAACTAATGAATGAGTTTTTATTAGTTTAAGTCTTTTTCTTAGACATCTTCCAAAGGCACACTCTCTTACATGCCTGTATATCTGATGGTGGATATATCTCCATGAAGCCAAAGTACAAACAGTATGGTGCAACCTCCCTGAGATAACAGTCCTAAAGATCATGATCAGGTTTGGAACAAAGTAAAATGTCACCAAACAGTGACAAGTCTGAAAATGCTTACTAAGTAGCAACTCTCATTTCTCAATGATAGCTTGGTTAATTTTTGGGAAAGCTTGGTTAACTTTTTAAATTTTATGCTTGGTAGTTTGGATATTACTGAAGGGAGGTTACAAGAAGTATTCCTACATACCTCAGAAAACCTCCTGTTCAAGCACAAAGTTCAAATGATCTGCAATGGTATTGGTCAGAGATTAATGCAAGGACTAGGAACAAGAAAATATCTGAAAGAATTCTCCAGCTGGTTTGAACAGAATCTTATTATTGGGTGATCTGGATGTAGGAGAGGGATCAAAGACAAAAAGTACTAAAGGGTACAAGAAGGATAGCTGTTGGCCAGAGTTCAAGCCTATACAAACAAGCCTGAAACAGAGCTCAAGCCTGGCCAACAGCAACTACTCTCTCAGTAGTCCATGGATCAGGAAACCACAAAGGAATAATTAGCTAGGCCAGACCGGTTGTGTAAAGGTTTCTCCTGCAGGAAAAAGCAATGAGAACTATATTTTCATGACTCAATAACAAAAATTTAACAGAGAAGAAATAGATACTTAAGTGGCAACTGGTAAGAGGGAAAACCAGAGATGGCTTGGATGAGTTGAGGGAGGTGAGGTTGCTAACAGGAGTGGATCAGGTACATCAGGAGCTCTGTCAACATCACACATCTTACTAGACTATGACCACATATAACATATAACCAGATGTTATATGCATATATAATATCTAACCTCTACTGTATCACACAGGTTCATTTGCAGTGAAAGAAACCCACGCAGGGTAATAGGTCGGGTATGGTTCAGGACTAGGACTGAACATGCAGGACTTGTTGGAGTATGCTCTACATCATGCACAGGGTGTCTGCCCTTCCCTCCTTTCACTGGGCATGCCCAGGTCTCACAAACTGAGAAACAGCATGGATTTGGAAACTAGGAGGCACTTGGGGATTTCTCCAAGTGGACAGAAACTCTGTGACTGAGTATGTCAAAGAATGTTTTTAAAGAGAACCATGTAACTTTTAAATAAAGACATTTAAAATTCAAGGTAGTTCAGGGAAATGTTGCAGATCACACCTGTTGAACCAGGCGTGAACCAAGATAAGAATGTAAGAATAACAATTTCTCCTATTGCTTGTAATCTGTCAAACTCTTGAGTTTTACTTCAAGTCTTACAGTATCACAAAATACATTAGGGAAAAAATCAAAACCCGTCATTTCATCCTGAAGACAAAGTGCTGAAGAAGGGACAACATTATGCATGAAGGAAGTCTCCCAGTCAGCCTCCCAGCTGGTTTAAAATTCAGTTGGATTACATATGTGTGACCAAAAACATTTATTCCTTCAGAGTTACCATTAAAATTGCAAAAGAAAACACGTCTGATTAGGCAGAAGCAGGGAATATCAAACTCCAGTTTCACTGCTGTGTTTAACAGTGAGGTTTGGTCTGCGTTACAGTTGATCCTGTTGTGGCAAATAATTTATCTTCCATAAAATGCAGTTCTGGATCAAATGAAGTTGTCTGCTAATACATAGTTCACAAAACAATTTCATGTGAATGTTTTTGAAAGTCAAAAGTTTGTGACTCTGCTAAAACATTTCAGTGCAATTACAAGGCAAAGTTCCATCTTTAAATCACCCTAATATTATTTAGAAATCAAACATAATTTTACAGTTTTAAAGATTGGAATAACACTGCAACAAAACCAAACCAACCATTTATTTGATTTGAAGAAACCGTTCTTGTTGACCTGAAATAAGTTTATTTTCTGCTGACATTTAGCCATAACAGTAACTTAATTACTCAATCCCAACTACACCTCCAAAAAAGTGAGGGCTTCTGAGAGTCTTGACCACAGTCCTATGGACAGGGGGCTGAGCAGTCTGCTCCTACGCCAAAAGCACTTATGCAAGTAAACTTTTGAATAGTTTACCACAATAATTACATCACTAATATGTAACAAATGACACATTAGCAACTACATTTTGACTGCAGATTTTATTATAATCTTTTGATGAATTTGGATTTAAGATTAAAAATGAAGCTAATAATATGAGTTATTATAGCTTTGAGTTATTCTGCTGCTTTTTCAGGTTCCATAAGGAACATGGCAGATGTGAAAAATTTTCTACCAAGTATCATTACAAAAAGAATCAACTTTTGTGTATCACAAGTGTTTTCTAAGGCACGATTTTGTTGATACAGGAAAACAACTCTTTTTGGTGGGAAAGGAACTTCCGTTCTATGGAAAATGGCACTTCCTTAAAATCCATTTATTTACAGCTAAAATCGTTTAAACTTTTTAATATACATCCTCCTTATAGACTTCATAAGTAAAAAATTCAAAGAATTACAGAAATAAAGTTTTCACCCTGCAAAAGCCCCTCAACCTCAGATCAAGATTGCTTATGCTTTTCTGTTTTATTTTTAAAAAATCAACAACAACAGCAAAAAACCCCATTCTGTGAAGTACTTTAGTCAAGGTGGCAGTTCACAAATGAAAATTGTTCTGTTAGAAAGTACTAGGTCAATTTTAGGTGTTTAGATCCACTTTTCCCAGCTACAGGATGTTTCTTTTTGTCTGTTCACAGAAAGAAGAGGACAGAGTTCATGAGGTGCGCATTGCCCTTGGAAATGGTATTAGACCTTCTGTATGGAAAGAGTTTCTGATGAGGTTTGGCCCAGTTAAAATATTTGAATTCTATGGGTCCACAGAAGGAAGTCTTAGTTTCCTGAACTATACTAATAAAATAGGAGCTGTGGGCCGTGCTGGCATCTTCTCAAAGGTAAGGATTATCAAATCAACCAACCAACCAACCAATTAACCACACAATAACTTTAAAAAAATTTAAAAGGCATGGGAAAGGCAGAAATCATAAAGAACAGGAAGGAAGAAAATGCCTCCTTCTTTCCAGGTACAATAATAATAATAATAATTGGTTCATGAAAACAGAAGCCTTATTCTTAGCCACTTCCTTGACTCTATTCTCTGTACATGTATTTTGAAGCCACAGTAAATATACACAATGAGTACATAGAAGCTCGTGTACCCAACTTTTCCCCTAAAATATATTTTTATAACCCCAAACTGTCTGTATAGAAGTGACTACCCAAAGGACTGAGTAATGACAATTCTTATTAATTGTTTACTAATCATCCTGAAAACCCACATATAATAAATGATGAGGCCAGAAACTAGTTTTGATTTGACTTTTTGTATAAATTAGGAGATAGATATTCAAAAGCAAACTTATACAAATTTGTTCTTTGACTGCATCTTCACTCAATAAAACCAGCATCACATTTTCTCTGAAATAAAATTAGCAGAACAAAAAAAAAAAAAATCAAAATTCTCAGCAAATACAGGAGAAAAATACTAATTTCAAAACATCTAAGCTATACCTTTACAAATACAACCACTGTTTAAACTCACAGTGTTTCTACCATAAAAACACCCTGACAGTCTCAAACACTTTTCCAATTTGTACAGTTTCTGTGACTCATGAACATTATACAACAATGAAATAGTATTCAAACAACACTAAAGATTCAGATCAATTAAGATCAAGACCAGATTAATGACTTCCAAATGATTTCTGCTTTATATCTGAGATGCCAAAAATGCCTTGGCATGATGATGATAACAACTCTGCAAGACTTTGAATCTTCTAGCAATCTTAACGACATGGATGGAGGATTGAGAATGGAAAGACTAATCAGGTCATTAATATGAAAGTTTCCATTTGCATCTGTCTGGTGTAATTTTTGAGATATCTGTAAATTTATTTTGGATTTTTTTTTTTTTTTTGTCAGAGAATCACCTTGATTTGAGCATTTTGGCAATATTAGAAATGGATGGCAGTTTTAAAGCAAAACTGACAATTTGATCAAATGCACTTTATCCTTCGTATAAATTATTTGAATCTGACCCTACTCTTAGACAAGGGCTTCTTTTTATCAGTAAAGGAGATGAACACTCACCTTTATATCTATACTTAGTGTTGCTTATCATGATATGAACACTTTCTGACAATTGCCTCTTAGAATACAGTCAGTTTATTTCAGGCTATCTCAAGTTTTCAAAAGTCAATAGGGACTATTCATTAATTCAAAGCAATTCTTATCCAATCTAGAAAAGTAGTAAGAAAGAGGTGTTTTTAAGTATGCGTGTGTGCTTTTTTCTTTTTTTTTTTTAGTTTCTACATTCCTTTGAGTTGTTGAAATATGATGTCTGGAAACAAGAACTTATAAAAGATGAAAATGGAAGGTGTAAGAAAGCAACCATAGGTAAGGAAAAATATTAGTTATCTGTTAACTAACAGATAACTCAATTTAGAGGATGAAATTTCTGTAAGCAACAGATTTTTGACATACACCTAGAACTTGAAAATAGAAAAAATAGGAAAATAGATCTAAACAGAAATCTGTTGTTAATATATGCAATAATATGTCCAAATACTTATAAATTAACCCAAAATAAAAAAATTACAATCATATAAGAACATTAGTAATATTTGGGACCCATAATATTTTTATTCTCACTTGAGAAGAACTTGTTCCTATTCCTGGAAAAATCAGATTTTTTAGTGCCTCTTTTTTTTTTTTTTTTTTTTTTTTTTTTTTTTTTTTTTAATGAAAAAAAAAAAAAAGATACAGTAATTCCCAGCTCTGTTGTGCTCTGAGGCCAGATGTTTAAAGATGCTTTCTAAGTTTCAGATTTAAAATTCTGATGAAGAACAGAAAAATTTCAAATTGTGGATCATATTTTTATGATTAGTGACAAAACCAGATTTATCATTTTAGTACCTAGAGTTGCACAGACTTCCTGAAATCCTACTTAAAATGGAATACTCCACCTCAAAGAGTTGAAGCTCCCAGACTGAAAATAAGGTAGCCTCCTAGCTGAGAATATCCTTGAGAAAAATCCCCAAAACTGAGTCTCACCAAAGACAGCACTGCATTTATGAAAGCCACATCAAATATTCATGTGCCTGTGTACACATGCACGAATCCATCTCTGTCAAAGTTATCAGTTCTGGGGAAAAGGTCTTTAACATCACTGGTTTTAGTATGTAGATTTAATTATCATAGAGATAAAAATCCTGAAGGTAGAAGAGGGGCTTGTACAGAAGACCTAAATGATAGCAGGATGTCAGATCTCAATGACACACAGTAGTACCGGTCATCAAACCAGCAATTATTATTGCTTGTATTTGATAATATAACATTTATATTATATCATATCATATCATATCATATCATATCATATCATATCATATATCATATCATATCATATTTTATTCTATGGTAGTAGTACTGGAAAAAAAAAAGTAGCAATCTTCTATTTTTTCTGATAAAATAATATTTGCTGACAATATCAAAATAAAGAAAAATATTTTTTTTTCTTGAAAAGAGCTTGCTTCCTCACTATTGCTTGCTTCCTTTAGTCATATTAGAAAGTGCAAAAAAAATTATTGCGTTCTCAGTGAAATTGATAAAATTCCCAGTTTCATGACACAACTAGAAAAATTTTGCAGATTACACATATTTTTAGGTAACTTTGAAGCTGTCACTGAATGCAATGTGAGATAGTAACGACAGTAAATTCACAAAATGGACTGGAAAATCCTTCTGTAAAAGTGACTTGGGGTTAGAGCAACTCCATTTTGTTTGGTTGTTCTTTTGTTATCAATTATGCATTGTATTTGCAGCAATGCCAGCTCCTCTTCTGAAAGGTAGTATGAGCTTTCATTCCATTTTCCATATGGAGTGTTCAAAAAAATGAAGAGGATTAAATTTAGGATACAGAAATACAGCTATGAAGAAACTTATTTGTTGGAAAACATCTCCTTACATCTTCTGAAGGAGTAAAATAAAAGCTTTTCGAAGATGGAATTATCTTTACATCTCAGGAGCGCATTGAGAACAAAGCCAGTAATTACCACAGATAAAGAATAATAAAAGAAACATGTTTAAAGGGCATTCTGAATCAATTCCAGTGCAGTCAATGGAAGCTTTGTCCTTGTTATAAATAGGACTCAGGCAGCAACAAGGAGTGATGCCCAGTAGGGATATGCTTCAGACCCCAGAGACCCCCTGAAAATCAGGGGCACACATTGTGGATTACAACTTGTTTTGTCACACCAGCACACCAGTGCTAAGGCAGTAGCATCTCTATCCTCTGGAAAACCTCAAAGCCCTCAAAAATCTTAGATACTATATATTTTGCCTCTACACATGTTGTTTGACTACCATCACCCTTTTCTAACGACATAAAGATAAAGGATACACAAAGATAAATCATCTTTTCAATGGGTAAATGCTTTTACCAGGTAAGTGATGTACAACACACTCCAAAGATCTCTTCCCTGTGGTCCAAATTTTTGGAAGAGAAGGAAGCAAAATTATGTTCCCTTTTCCACTCACCCATTTCTTCTGTTCAGGGAAGAACTAAGGTAATGTAGCAATAAGACACATAAAACCGACGTGGCTTTCCAAAGGATTTTTAATATGATAATTTATGCTCTTAATAGCTCACTCTATATATGTTTATACATATGTCTCTCTCTCTCTATATATATATATAGATGTCTATATATATTTCCCCTTTTCATGGCCTGCAGGTAAACCTGGTCTTCTAGTTTTTCAAGTTACTGAGGATAGCCCATTTTCTGGATATGTTGGAAATAAAGAAGCCTCAGAGAAGAAACTCCTGCGTAATGTGTTTGTGGAAGGAGATGTGTATCTTGACACAGGGGACCTCCTAGTGATGGATGAGGATGGGTTCCTCTACTTCACTGACCGGGTGGGAGACACTTTCAGGTACAGCACGAAGTTAAGAGTAAATCCATGGAAGAAATCACGCATATGCATGCCTGGATGACACAGGTCAGACTCAAACATGATGAATGTCAACTTTGTTTAAACAAAATCACTAAGGATAGGAATCAAGTCCACCAAAGTGCACTCCAACATATTGGAATTTTTCAAATTTGGCACTTCTTGTATCACTGGGTATTCAAATATGACGGCATTAAACCACACAGTGATTCTTCAGTTAAGAATGTCGCCCACGTTAAAAGTAGTCCTCTGTCATGTATAGAATAAAACATGTATAAGCTAACATCTATATTAATATAAGAAATATTTTCAACAGGTGGAAAGGAGAAAATGTTGCTACTTTAGAAGTTGCAGACGTCATTGGTATGATGGATTTTGTCCAAGAAGTTAACGTTTATGGTGTAAGCGTAAAAAGTAAGACATTTTCTATAGTTTAAGAACATAAAATGAAGAGAGTAATTTCTTACTGTAACTTTTCTGTTCTTGCAACTGCATGCACAAGTACATGTAAGGATGTAAGAAGTTTCAGCTTGGCAATTCAGGCTTTTCTACAGTTTTTGAAATTTCAGTTACAGTAAAATGCTGCATTTAATAAACATGACATGCTGAAATTTTGTAATGAATGGAAGAAAAATTTGGATAAATTAAAAATTTTAACAGAAGTGAGAAATATGAAGCGAGAAATACAAAGTTATGAACTACACAAGACTTCTCTTAGGCTACAGGCTTTCATCTGAAAAATGGTAAGATACAGTATATTAAAAGATAACGTCTGAAACCACTATCTTATGAGTACTGTCCAAGAACACATATTTTTTTTTGTAATTGGAATGTTCTCAATCATATATGATGCTTCATAAAAATATAAAATATCATGCTGAAAAGCTGTAGGAAACCAAATTACAAAATTTAAAAATTCTCAGAAGATGAAACCATTGAAGAAACAGGTTGAGGAAGACAAACATTTTGTTGTGCTGAGTAACTGTTCATTATTTCCTTTGGAGGCAAATGAAGTCTAGTATTAAAAGAAACTAGTCACATGAAGAAGAAGCTGTCAAGAGATAGCACTCAGAGATGGGAAACACAATGGGTTCAAGGAAAGAGGATACATAAAAATAAAATTTAAAGGCCATCATCTGAATGGTTGATCAGCAGGTGGCAGTCATGCAGTGCATGCAAATAAAACTGTGGTCTAATATTCAAAGCATCTCTCATTATCATCTGCAGTTGGAGCTGATGGGGGCTCCTCAAAAGGGTTATTGCTACCTCAGGCAGTAAATAGCACATAAAAAAATGCCTCAAGATTCACATCAATTTTTGCTTGCAGTGTCAATAACATCTAGACAGCATGGTCTTTCATGTTTCTGTATTGACTTGAGTCTCAAATATTGCCATAACAAACTTCAAAGCATATCACCAGTTCAGTAACAGCAGATTCATTTTCAGGAAAAGGAATATCCATATTTTTTCTTTCCAGTGCCTTTAGGCAGACCTCAAGGCTGCTCATTTTTTCTGAACAGATTTAACTGTGGCAGTTGATTTCTTCCAACTCGGATATTTTCTCCTCTTAAATTTTTTTCTTGTGTTTCAATAAATAGAATGCAGGAACTATGTCTGGTACATAATTTTGAAAAGGGTTTTGTTTCAGTTTGCATGTCAAACATAATTTGATGCCTGTAATTTACTAGGAATCACTTACCTTTTTGTCACAAATTTGTCCACAAATTGTGGAACAGAGTACAAAGCACTCAGCACTGCCTTTACAGTGTACAATAGGCATTTAACTTTATATAGAACAAGTACAGTCTTATACATGTTTATATCTATTAGTCTTTGTGTGGGTGAATTCAGGTTCTCTTTTTAATTAATTCTCCCTCTGATTCAATTAGTCATTATATTACCAGTGTTCAGGTAGGAATAAAACCTAGCAGGCAGTTCCAGCTACAGAGAATTCCCAATAAAAAGACATCAGTGACATTTTTTTAATTGAATAAACTCACTGAAAGTAACTTTTAAAGTTCTCAAATACCATGTATAAATAAAATAAGTAAAGTAATAAAACATCATAAACCTAATGAATAAAATATCATATACTTTATACTCAGTGATGTCTGAGAAAACAAGATGGATATATCACAATATCAATTTACTTGTTCTAAATATTATTGAATACCCCCAAATGTTACAAAACATTCATATATGCTCTTACTTGTCATACTATTTTTCAAATTTTTTTTAGATTATGAAGGAAGAACAGGGATGGCAGCTATTGTGCTTAAACGTTACCACAGCTTTAATGGAGAAAGACTTTACAAGCATGTTGAGGCCTTCCTTCCAAGTTATGCCCAACCACGCTTTGTGAGAATCATGGTAAGACAATAAGTCGTCTGCCACTTGTATTTATCTTGTGTCTGACTTGAAAATTGGTCACTTCAACCATGGAATGCAGAATGCATTTTACAAACAGTTTAAATAATTGAAAACAAAAGGAAATAGTACCCTAAATTACTGTTCCTATGATTGTTATTATGATGAATTTTAGCAAATATATGATAAATTATGTTTCTGTTTTGTGTTATGGATCCATCCATACCTAAGAATCCTAGATGGGATTAGTAACTTTGCTGTTGGATTTTGCTTCAAAGTACTTTAACCAGTGTGTTCTTCTAGTCAGTAGAAGACTAAGCAAACATATGTGTAGCCTTACTCATAAGAGTTCTTATAACAGGGTGACATGATCCATTTCAAACCTTTTCCTGATGTGGCTGTCCTTGAAGTGATTATTATCCACTATTACTGACAAGGCACCAAGGAAATACTGGGTTATTTACCACAGATAATAAAAGTTTTATGGAGATTTCCTAATGTGAGAATTAAAATGCATTCACATGTTTTAAAGAACAAAAGCAGAACTGGGATACAATTCTTTTTTAACATCCACCTTAAAATACAAGGATTGCACCCCTTGTGAGCACCCCACAGGCTGATCTGCCACCAAGCAGGAGAGCATGAACTGCAGAGGGTAGGAAAAGGCTCCACATCGCATCATCTCAAAGTTTGTAGCTCACAGTTTTCTGCTGTTAGGGGATGCTGAGAGGCAGTTTTACTTTTCCCTAAATACTGATAAATAGCCAAAAAGGTTCAAATTGAAGAATTTATAGATTGAGAAAACCTTTTTTTTTCACTAACAGGTTACTCTACTAAGTAAATGTACCTTCAAATGCAGTAAGCATAGGTTATATTATCGGTGGGGCTTCAGGACATATCTGGTGTCTTCTGGGAAAAGCTTTTGGAACAGATCTGTCTTTAGAGTTCCACTAGATTGAGCAAATCTATACAGTGCTCTAAGGTTTATATTTATGGAACCAATTAAAGCTGTTTGCATTTATTTGTTCTCTGACTAAATCTTTTTTTAGATAGCTGAGGAGGAGCCAAAGTAAACAAAGTTTCTAGCAGTACTAATTAACTGATATTTACATGTGTGCAAATTTTTATTAAAGGAAATAACTTCAATTTAAAAAAAATCAAAATGAGAAAAAATTGTTGTTGCTTTATAAAATGTCTTAGGGGAGTATAGCAGCATACTTCAGTATATGCTGAACTCACCATTTTCTGTTTGGAAGAAAATTTATTCCCTTTTCTAGGTCCTGAGAAAGAGGTCACCCTAATCAAATACTTGAAATTCTCATGCAATATTGGATTAAAACCAAAATCATTCTTGAAAAATTTTCAGTAGTCCTTATGTAGGCTTTTTCTAATATAACTTGCAATTATGGTTGACTGGTTTTGTGCAAATCAGACAGACTGATTTTCTGTTCTCAGTATCTTCCACTTGATTCTAAAAGAATAGCAGAGGCACGGGGACAAGGATGCAAAAACCCGGGGGACTCCAGGGCTCTGTTATGTTTTCCACCTGAGTTTTTTTAACTTCCTTCCAACAAGAACTAAAAAGTGGATCTTTTCAGCATGGGAACTAAAACGAAATGTTCACTGTATTGAAAACATGTATAAGTAATAACAATGCTTGAGAACAGTCTGTTTTAAACTTTTCTCTACATGTAAACAACATTTGAAAGGCGAATTATTTATATACCACTTCTGCTCAAATACCCCAACCATTGTGTGCAGAACAACTTGTTCATGAATTGGCATTTTAATAATTGCTGTATAGAAACTCCTTATGCAGGCAAATAAGACAAGAAGGCATTTAACATTGTAGGGTTTAATGTTTTAAATTAAGTTTAGCAGTAGAGAAGAGAGCCAATACCACAAAATCAGTCAGCTCTTTGCAGAGTGAACCAATTGTTCCATACTCTACTGGTTTTATGGTGGACTGCCCTAAGGAAAGTTAAAAGAAAATTGCATATATTGAAACAGAAACTTGCGATCTTGTGTGTTGCTTTAGCAGGAAAATTAATAAGAAACAAATATTCATTTAGATTTAGATTTAGATTTAGATTTAGATTTAGATTTAGATTTAGATTTCACTGCACTTGTGAATCTGATAATTGTTTAACTGAAGAAATTGTATAGTAAATTGTATGATCTATGTTATTCAGTAAGTACATCATAATTTCACTCATATAGACTGAAATGGAATATTGCACCTTATTTGAATTATTTCTTTCATAGGATGTTATGCAAACTACTGCAACTTTCAAGCATCAGAAAACACATCTGGCAAATGAAGGATTTAATCCAGAAATTATATCTGAACCCCTGTATTTCATGTATGAACCTGCACATTCTTATATTCCTTTGACAAGAGAGAAGTACCAGAAGGTGGTTTCTGGTGAAATACGTCTATAAAGCATAGAAATAAAATTACTCTACAATACAGAAAATTTCAGATATATTCCTGAAACCATTTCCGGAGGAGTCACTATGCAGTATTTGTTTTAAAAACACAAGGTATTCAAATTAATCTTAAAATTGGTCGCTTCCAAAGATACAGATATTTATGTGCATTGTGTTGGCTGCACTGCATCTGCTCATATAATTTCCTCACACATGGGCTTACATATGCAAATTTTTATTTCACATTTCTCACTGATTCAAATTTTTACATTTCTCACTGATTCAAATTATTTTTGTCTGAGCCACCATTATCTTAACCTAGCTGAATATTTTACACACATACATTTTATTCTGACTCTGCTTTTAAAATTAATAAATAATTAGATCAATAATGTCCTAGGCATTAATAAAGTGAGCCATCAGAAACATAAGCAAAATCCTGCACAAGCACTGTATGTAGACCTGAGTTCAATGTTTGACAATTATACAATATAATATTTAATTGTAGTACTTTATGTGATGCTCTACTTCAGACTTTTATGGAAAATAAACATTCAGTGGTGAAATATATTTGTAGTATTTAGTGTACATTATTTTCCACAATTTACGTGAGAACACAGATTATTTGCAAAAATTCACACTCAATGGTACATTATGTCTTCTTTAACTTACCAGTCGTCATATTCCTGAAGCTGAATTCTCATGAAAATGGGACAAAATTTACTATAGCTTCTAGGTTTTACTGGAAGTGAACATCTAGAAACTCTTAAAAGGAGCTAGAAAGTTTCAAAGGCAGAATCAAATCAGAGAATATAACATTAGCATACCTGCTGGATGTACTTGAGTATACCTATCTGGTTTCATTTAAAAATCAAACAAGTCTTCACTTACATGAGGGAAAACCTCCCTCCTGTACAATTCACTGAACTCGTGTGACCTTTTGCCCAGATTAATAAAATACCTGTACAATAAAGCTAATGCTCATCCCAGTTAGAGCCTTACAGACTTGCATGATTTCCCCAAGCATAAGACTTATTTTTCTCAGTTTTCAGTATGTGCTATTACTACCAGGCTAACTCTGCTACCTCTGCCATAACGCAGTCACACGTGGCAACTGACCCAAACACCTTTGGTGCCTTGTAGAGCACAGGACACCAGCAGCCCCACACCACAAGAGCCCATCACCTAAGGGCAAGGAACAATTTAACTAACAAAGGAACTCTGTTATGACCACAAAGGTCCGAACCCCTTGGTGACACCATGGATCTCTCAAGATCCTCTGCCATTCCACATCACAGAAGTGTGTGTGACAGAAGCAGATGCGGCTTGAGATCTGGAAGGCAGTAGGTGTGGGCGGAACTGGACAGATGGCATCCAGCACACCAGACACACCTAGGGCACACCAACATCTCCTATGAGACATAGGAGCTTGGAGTGAGAGAAGCAGAATTGTAAAAAAAATCTTTACTTTTAATAATTGTCCATTCATGGACTAGGAAGAGTACTGAACATAATACAGGTTTGAGGAAGGCCCGAGGAATTTCAATGGTTTGAATCCATTAAGGGACTCTATAGCACCCCAAAAAATCTCCTTTCACTAAGACAGTAAACTTCTGATGTCCTGGCCAGTTTCTGGGAATCCTATTACCAAGAAAGGAAGGGATTGGTCATTCATGACATGACTGTTGAATATAGTAGTTTCTCCAACTACTTCTACTTTGGTCTTCTAACACATGAAACAATAGTGCTCACCTAGAACTCTTCTTATAAGCTGACACAATATTTCCAAAATGTCAATAATTTTCAAAACATGACAGAATATTGAGACAGCTGTGAATTGGCTATAAATAAAATACTTGTATTTTTCCTACCATCTAAAGGTTTATATAACTACACATACATGTAACACTTAAACATGTAGAACATTAAATTTTATGAGGATAAAATATAACTGCTATATAACTGCTATATAACTGCTGTTACCAATACACTTGATTAAGTTTGTAACATTTACAAAGCTCCAAAAGCCTCAGAAAAAAATGGTGTTTTCTCCCTTTATTTGTATTAAGAAGATGTCCTACAAACTACTGTCTTACTGCCAGTTATTTCTTCTTTTTTCCTTCACCCTTTTACTCTCTACACTTAATTACTTCCCAACATTCATTCTTCAGAAAAGGTTAAAATAGAGCACAAGACAACGATCACATTTACAAGGATCTGAGCAGGAGATGGTTGAGGAATGTGTCTCTTACACCACAAAATTACTGTGGTTTCAAGATCCATACAAAATGTCCTATGCACATGCAGAGAAGGATGACTACCTATTAACTCTTAAGCATCTAAACCCTTTTCTTCCTCACCTCTTGTTATGAGTTATTTTTTGAGCTTTCAAAAGTAGTTTCCTCTCATTTGCACAGAGCAGAAAAAAAGGATATGAGAAGAAAACTAAGAAAGTGAACAACTACTTTTGCTACAGAATGTTAAAAAAGTAAAATTTTAGAATATAACCCAGTTATACCAGTTAATAAAGTGGTCTTCCATATAGAAGACACAATTGGAGAAATCAATGTGAGGAAAGAAAAAGAGCAGCAACATTAAATGAAATATGGCTTTAATGCTAATCATGTACTTACAAGGCTCTCCAAGTTTACAACTCAATCCTATGAGCGGCTATTCCTCTCTGGAAGGGCAAACTTTTTTAAAGTCCTAGATCAAATGTTCCACAAAGCAGAATGCAGACTTTGCCTGCTAGTCTCCTACATTACTCTATTTTGAGCCAAGACACAGAAGTAAGTTTTCATATTTGACAGTTACTAAAAAATGAATTGGGATACTATTCTCCACATACTATAATAAGTATAATGTTATATATTTACTATATACTGTATAATACTAAATTTAAATAAATATCTGACACTTCAAAATTTATGATTTTTCAAAAGAAACACAAAGCATCAACAATTTCTTACATCCAAAATGTGTTATTTAAGACAAGTTCTTTCTTTTCCCTCAAAAATTTGAAGTATCTCACTTCTCTGCTGCTTATGCTACTAAAAAAGCATTGTAGTTCCCTAATGTATATTAGTCAGGTTCAGAGTTAATGCAAATATATATATATATCCATGTACTATTGCATTATCTGGATATTAAAAGGATTAATGTCTCAAACCCCCTCAAAATGAGTTGGGTTTTTTTTTACATTAACAAAGCATTTCAGTATTTGGTGTAGGTTTCTTTGCTACAGTGAGATTCTATAAGGAAATTTTTCAGTTTTATTCAATCACATTTTTTAAAAAAACTTCACTCTGAATTTCACCAAAGGAAAATTAAACTCCTTTATATTTCCTTATCAGGTCATACCATACTCCAGGGAATCAAATTGTTTTGAAGGGAAATTGAGCATAATAATTACACCACAATAAATAATTAATGGCACTGTGGTATGAGTTTATGAGTTCTATATACGTCAAGAATAAAATAGATTCCAGGTAATGGCATGTAACGAGAAGCCAAATAACAGATGCATTTCTTGTTATACTTTGGGGCTTTATTACTTAAAAACAAATATCACTACATTTAAAATAGAAGAGGTTTTAGAGGCTTTTAGAGATAGTCTTTATTACCTCCTTATAAAGGTTTCTTCACAATATGAATTTTCCATTTGGAAGTATGTATTATGTTAGCAGTTTCAATCAAATAATAGCACACCGTTTTCCCCAGAATTTTGTCTCATTTGGTGTGGCATGTGGTAACCTGAACTTGCTTAACAGTTCAGTAGCCAGTTCAGTTCACTTACTGACCCATGCATGCAATTAATTCTATCTTCAGTGATGATAGCAATTACTTTACATTAATTAAAATAATTAATTTCTTTGTAAGCCTTTCAAATCCCATGCTACTTACGTTAAAAATATAAATAAATATGCGCACATCTGCATTGGATAAAAGCCCTGAAAGTATAGAGAACAAAAGTACTGAAGGCAAATTTAACCTATCTGCTTTCTATAGGGGCTAAACCAGCCACCTAAACTGCGGTATTTTAATACCCTTGGGATGCATGATGCTTTTACGTAACACTGGACACTTCTGTTTCATTTATTTCAGTATGAGCACTTCATTAAAAAAAAACGAGATGGAAGACTTTGGTAAGAATGTCAGAGTGGATACTTCTAAATGCTGGTTATGGGACATAAGTGGGACATAAGTGTAGAATTGCCCTTTAGCTTCCTGAAAATTTCAGCCTTGAAATACATTTTGAAAGAGATCTATATACAGACAAAAATAAAACTGTTTAAGTATGAACACTGAATTTATTTTAAAATATACTTTTTAGAGAAATTAATACTATTAAATACTGGAAATTATCAGTAAGGCAAAATGAACACATAGTCTTCATACCTGGGTGAATAGCATCTCAGAAAGAAATAGTATTACATCAGAAGGGACAAATCTAGGAAATTACTACTTTCTCACATGTAAAAATAAGTTATAAGACTTCTACTAGGAAACATTTTACACTGCCGTTACATTACTTTTAATTATTAATTTATAATTTGCTAAATTATAAGGCATATTACACTTCAGGCAGTTAAATGACATCACCAATCAATCACTCTTACTTATTTCCTAACAAAGTAATTCTGAATTTTAAGACTTTGATGTTTACTTCCAATAAGGTAGTTGAAGCCATAAAATACACATCTATGTGAGATTAACATTAGGGGATTTTAAAGAATGCTTAGATGTATAGGTTATTGTACATCACTAAAACTATTTGAATGAGCCTCAAAAACTGTAAGTATTTCTATTGTTTCTACTACATGAAAATCAGACACACAAAGAAACATCAGCTAAAATTGTCACTGAGCGCTTGGAAGTATGACAGAACATGTACACGCAGTTGCATCCAGAAGGATTTATTTCAGTTTTTCTTGGTCCACCTAATTTCAAGTGTACTTTGTCCCATTAATATTGGTCACCAGTTGTGGAGATGTTCCTTATGAAGTAGTAAT